AAAATAGTTTCTGAATACGACGAAAATAGTTTCTGAATACGACGAAATAGTTTCTGAATACGACGAAATAGTTTCTGAATACGACGAAAAGAGTTTCTGAATACGACGAAATAGTTTCTGAATACAAGAGTTTCTGAATACAACGAAATAGTTTCCGAATACAACGAAATAGTTTCTGAAGACTAGTTTCTGAATACAGTGCAGTTTCTGAATCCGACTTTGTTCCGGTCAAAACGGCCTCAAGAAAGGTCTGGTAACGTCCAAATCTCAGGCTCCCAGCCGCGAATTCTCGGCTGTCTAGGAACCTTGCGGCAAGAGCTGTGGCATGCTTCACCATGTTTCTTTGGGCTTTCCAATCTCATCCAATGTTCCAATTCTGTAGATCAGCATCCCACTACTGGTACCAACACTTTGCCACACTTCACTGCCTGTCTGTTAAAATTGTGCTCATTGTCCAAAGACCAAGCCAAAAGACGAATCAGAACAAAGAAAAGAAGCTAACTTCGCCCAGGTGCCCAGATCCATCTCGGTCAGCTGCTTCAAAGAGTCGTTCAGGGTCCTCTGCGCACGATCGGCCGATCTTTCAGCCGTCGAGCGCGGTCAGATTGTCGGTCCTCTCCCATTCTCTGAAGCAAGTCAGGGAAGAGGTACAAGCCCTGAAAAGTGGACCGTTTCACTTGAAAAGCAGAATCAAGTCGAATGGGATCGCGAAAAATCGAATCCCCCCAACAAGCTCCAAGCTTTGTGATTCAGAAACTGTTTATGAAGACTGCTTGAAGAAACTGAGGCTCTTGACACCCCTGTTGGGCCTCTGTTGAGCCTCTTGCTAGCGGGCCTCCATGAACTCCGCCGGGCTCAACAAGCCATCTCTGTCTCGATCCAAGGCGCGGAACACGCCGTTCGCCTCGAGGGTGGAACCATGGTGGAACAAAGCGATTCATCCGCTGCACATAGCACTGACTGGCGAATTCGGGGAGGATTCTGGAAGTCTTTCTTCGAGGTCAGCCAGTTGTATTGTGGACATGCAAACAAAATTGTTGATAGTCAATGTTCATGTCATTTGCGTATTTACGCGTGACGCTCATTTATATATGATAAATGGCTCAAATGGCTCCCACCTGCTCAATGTGGGGCTCATTCTCGGGCATCTGTTGAGCAATGACACGAATGATCAACTTCTTGAACTGGCTCTCCTCTGCTGGGGGCGAAGTTAAGACCTCGTGGCTTTACCGGAGAACATCCAAAAGTTAGGTGAAACTTGGAGTTGGCGTTTAAACCTTCCCGCGGAGATGAGCTAAACCTTTCTCATGACGGGTCGCTGATGTTCCAAGGAGCCTCAAACAAACCACACACAAAGCACATTGTGGGGGTGAGCACATGCGTCACGTGTTCGTTCAGCAGCTTTTTCAAGCTGTTAACTTAAAGTCACATGCGCTTGAACACAAGACAATCCGCTATCGTCCGCCATCCCAGTGTTCTGTTAAAGAGACATCCAGAGCTCCTTTAAATAGTTGAGGCCATTCGCGAAGAGTCGGTGCATCTGAGCAAAAGAGTGGAAGGACAGCGTTTTCAACAGCATCGTCAAAGCCGACTGTCAAATCACCCGAGTTTCACTCTTCAAACTCCCCATCCATTGAACATGATTTTCTTGGAACGCTATTGGGTTGGAGGCCATCGCTACTGGGTTGGAGGCCATCGCTACTGCGTTGGAGGCCATCGCTATTAGGTTGGAGGCCATCCCTATTAGGGTGAAGGCCATCGCTACCAGGTTGGAGGCCATCGCTACTAGATTGGAGGCCATCGCCATTAGGGTGCAGGCCATCGCTACCAGGTTGGAGGCCATCGCTACCAGGTAGGAGGCCATCGCTACTGGGTTGGAGGCCATCGCTACTGGGTTGGAGGCCATCGCTATTAGGTTGGAGGACGTCGCTATTGGGGTGGAGGCCATCGCTACTAGGTTGGAGGCCATCGCTATTAGGTTGGAGGCCATCGCTATTAGCTTGGAGGCCATCGCTATTGGGGTGGAGGCCATCGCTACTAGGTTGGAGGCCATCGCTATTAGGGTGGAGGCCATCGCTGCTAGATTCGAGGCCATCGCTATTAGGTTGGAGGCCATCGCTACTATTAGGGTGGAGGCCATCGCTACTATTAGGGTGGAGGCCATCGCTACTATTAGGGTGGAGGCCATCGCTACTATTAGGGTGGAGGCCATCGCTACTATTGGGTGGAGGCCATCGCTACTATTAGGGTGGAGGCCATTGCTATTAGGGTGGAGGCCATCGCTATTAGGGTGGAGGCGCCATCGCTATTAGGGTGGAGGCCATCGCTATTAGGTTGGAGGCCATCCCTATTAGGGTGAAGGCCATCGCTACCAGGTTGGAGGCCATCGCTACTAGATTGGAGGCCATTGCTATTAGGTTGGAGGCCATCGCTATTAGGGTGGAGGCCATTGCTATTAGGTTGGAGGCCATCGCTATTAGGGTGGAGGCCATCGCTGTTAGGTTGGAGGCCTCGCTATTAGGGTGGAGGCCATCGCTATTAGGGTGGAGGCCATCGCTACTAGATTGGAAGCCATCGCTATTAGGTTGGAGGCCTCGCTATTAGGGTGGAGGCCATCGCTATTAGGGTGGAGGCCATCGCTAATAGATTGGAGGCCATCGCTATTAGGGTGGAGGCCATCGCTACTAGATTGGAGGCCATCACTATTAGGTTGGAGGCCATCGCTACTAGATTGGAGGCCATCGCTATTAGGGTGGAGGCCATCGCTACTAGATTGGAGGCCATCGCTATTAGGTTGGAGGCCTCGCTATTAGGGTGGAGGCCATCGCTACTAGATTGGAGGCCATCGCTATTAGGTTGGAGGCCATCGCTACTAGATTGGAGGCCATCGCTATTAGGGTGGAGGCCATCGCTACTAGATTGGAGGCCATCGCTATTAGGTTGGAGGCCATCGCTATTAGGTTGGAGGCCAGTACAATTGGGTTGGGACGACACGACGTTGTTTTTCACATGTGCTCCCTGCATCTCCATGTCTCTCCTCGTCTTGGGCTCCCAACGCGTACCAGTGGCACCGGTTCCCTGGCCAGTTTCAGCCAAGGATGCCGCAAGAGTTCCTGTGGAGTTTGAAGAAGAATGGAACTTCTTCCTTTCGCCGTTCTTGTGGTACACTGGGTACACTCCTTGAAACAATCATGGAATTGGAGTGAGTGAAAACCACCTGTTTGGCCTTCGGAAAACTCATGGTCATCCGAACTCGGGGAAATTCTGCCATCCACATAACCATGATGATGTCAGCAGGTGTAGTGCGTGTTTTTCTGTGTTTTCCAGCGAGTCCAACATTTCCTCATCTTTCAATCGCGAAAGAGGTCGGGCCGGAATTGGGCTTGCCGGCTGCAGCAGTCGGGCGCAAGCTGGAGGTCACTCGAAGCATGCACTGGATGGCCTTATGCCGACGGCACGGAACTTGGCAGAACTCCTATTCCACATCTAGCAACATCCACAATCTATATGGCCATCGCTACTGGGGTGGATTTACAAGATTTTACAAGATTCTACCAGCGTCCAAGTTTACGTTTCCTACTTGGGCGCCAATCTGGGCGCCACTGCTATGCTAAAGCTGCTACAGGACGGCTGGTTTCTGGTACAGGATCCTGTCAAAAAGGCATCTGTGGCTCTGGACATCAAGGCATTTCGAGGATCTTTTGGACCAATCCTCGACTCGATGTCTTGAATCGATTGGACTGAGCAACTTGAGACGAATCATAAAAGAGACAGTTTCACTGGCACCGTCTGGCTTCCATTTTTAAAACACTGCGTTTCACTGTGAGGCAAGTGCCCATGGTAACAAATCAGGCTTCTCAATCTTCAACACATGTCCCATGTGTCGCCGTGACATGTCTCATCGGCTGGTTGAGCTGCCCGCTTTCTTGGAGAATTTGATGGGCTCGGTTTGCATCATGCCCACAATCTCCTTGAAAAGTCAATGAAAGTTTGGTTGCCAAGTCCAGAACAAGACGAGTTGGACAGGTCTGAAAAGACTCCCACCTTCTTCGAGCCTTCTGGAGGGCAAAATGGCGGAACCTCAAACCATCGGATCTCGACATGGAGGGCGAAATGGCGGAACCTCAGAACTGCCTTGGACTATTCTGGCTGGTTCTCCGGGAGTGCCAGCTTTGCGAGTTGCCAGCCATCATAGCATGTCTAAGCTTCTTAGATTCACACACCGGTCAGCAGGCGGAAAGCCAAAGCACCAACGGCCCAAATGTCAGCCTTCCAAGGGTTTCGCTCTTCTTATGTGTTTGCTGTGGCACCAATTGCCTCCTCCAAGCAAAAAAAGGATCGCAAGAAGATGCCATGCGGGCCATATCTCGCCCTGGCCCATGTCGCCTTGTCGGCTCCAGCTGGAGCCAGACCTCGAAGATGTCCGTCAATCAGGTGCAAGTCCAGCTGCGAGCGTTGCTTCACCTCTTCGGGAGGCCTCGCAGCGTCTCAGCGGTTGGTCTCCGCATCCGGTCGCGGAGCGGCGGTCGTCTCGCACTGGGCCCATGACCCAGACTCCGGTTGCACGGAAAGGCGAGGAGTTGCCTTCAGCCACCAGAAACACTTTTTTCTGGGTTCCTGGTCTTTCATCCGAAACGGTGCAGAAACGGTAGGATTGCCGATGACTGCCATACAGGAACATTTGGAGAAAGCTCCCAAGTGTGTGCACAAATGAAACCGTTGCAGCGCCTTGGAAACCTCTGGAAGGTCTCCTCTGAAGGACTTTGACATCCAACGAGCTCACGCTTTTCTTTGCAGGCTTCGATGGTTCTGCTTTAGATCGATTCAAACATGGGTCAACACTTGGGTGTGCCCGGTACAGGGTAGAAAACACCTGCACTTGGACCCACAACTGTTTCACAAAAGCCTCAACCGTCAACCATGGTCTGAGAGTCACTGAAAGCACTTTACTGCAGAAACAGCACAGTTGATGAGCTCCTTGAGAGGCAGAGCTGCGCATCTGTGTCAGGAACTGCTCTTTGGACTCAGTGCAACCAGTCGAACATGGTCAGATCATGGCTGTGTCGATCGAGGCATGCTGAGAATGCAGGCCTGTTGAATCCGTTTGAAATGTTTCACTTTCCACAGTTCTTGTTCGTTCTGCACTTCCATGTCGCAGACTTTCTGGGCTTTGGACTGCAATAGAATCCACCGCTGTGTACGGTAGACCTGCATGGTGGTGCAAAGTCATCCCATGCAAACCCGTACGCCGCGGATGCCAACCCAACAAATTTGCCTAGAAGTGCATCAGGTGCCCTTCGTTCCTGGCAAACTGACACAGTTCTTCCAGCCGAATCAGTTCTTTTACTTCGAGGTCCAGTCCTTCGAGAGCTCCTTGTGGAGGAAAAATCCCAAAGGTGGCACCAAAGCCTTTCGAATCGGACATGTTCTTCGACGGGAAGAAGGAAGAAAACTTTGGCAAATCTCCAGAGCTTGAAGTACCTGGAGACATGTGGCTCAAAAACATCAAACACCACTAATTGAAGTACCTGGAGCGAAATCGTGGGTCCTGATTTTTCACCCACACCCAATGATCGCCATGTTCCTTCGGTGTGACCACCAAGTGTCTTGCATAGCCCAAGCCAAAGCCCACCAGCTTTATCTGAGGAGTCCTGAACGCCAAGTCCGCATTCGAACTCGCATCTCAACTGCTACTGACTTCCAAAGTCTACTTCTTGTATGGGCCGACAACATCTACACGAGTCACTAGTTTCAACACAAGCGATAACACATGCAATTTGCAGCATTCAAGTAGATGTTTGATCAGATTTGGAGTCTCTTCCAAGACCTTTCGCCTTTGTTTTCGTTTTGCTCTCGGCTTTGACGGTTTGAAAAGAAATGTTCATACTTTTTTTGAGACCGTTCGATCAAACCTTGCCTCTGCAACGACTTTTTCGACCTCGTGGAGCATCGCTGCGCGGTTGTGGCGCATCGCTTTCGTCCTTCCTCGCTGTGCTCGCGGCGTCTGCTGTCGGACCTTCTCTGGGGTGATCATGCCGTGGACGCAGCCTGTCGTGCCGCGAACAAAAGCAAACTGTTACAGAAGTGAAAAAGAACGAACTGCGGGGAAACTGCTTGCAGAAGAAATGGCGAAGGACAACGCAAAGAAAACGTTGAAGAATGCTGATGAGTTGTATGAGTTAAGCTCTAACAGTTCTTAGCTCTGACTTGATCTTACCGAATACCTCTACTCTGCAGGCTTTAGGTCTTGCACGTGATATCACGTTATCTTCCCTCAAAGACGAAGGGGCAAGTGTCAAGAAGAAAAGCATTGTCCAATGTGTTGCAACCTTTTGCACTCCAACGAGGAAACAACTGCACCGGCTCCGGCGACGTTCGCCTTGCGCGTGTCCATGCGCCAAGGCCGAGAGGAGTTGTCGGACCAGTTCAGAGATCTGGGGCGGACCGGGCGGAGGACCGCCAAATGGATGGGTCGGGTGAGGTCAGGATATATCAGCCACCAAACGGACTAAACCCATACGACAGCAAAGTCTGTTACTACGACAGCAAACATGGTATGGTTTCATCCAAAAACTCAGGAAGTTGTTGGAAGAGGATTTCTGGAAAACTCGTCTTTGTTGAACTGAGAGTGATCCAACTCCGGAAGAAGTTTGTGACTTGTCGAGATTGCCGGATTGACCCCAATACAAGTAGTTGGGAAGAGCTATTGACCATTTGATACCATTTTTATGTTTCTAACACTCCTTCTCTTGGCTCCACAGGCCCTCCTTACAGGGACTTTCAACCTGCTCTATTGCCGGCTTAAGGGCGCTCAGCGTCTAAACTCTGAGACGCCCCCACCACGATCTCATCCTTTCGCATCTGTGAGGTTTCTGAGGCTGACCTTCCCGTCGCGAAGGGAGGGCTGCTGCCCACTGCAACATGTGTCCAAACATGTCCAGATTCCAACATGAGAAGAGCAAGATCAAACTGGGCCCAACCAATTAAGACCCAAACTGCTTCTCTTTGCCCTCGAGTCGCGTCCACGGCCTTGGTGTGAAATGCACGGACAACGTGTCACCAGATTGCTTCGACGTGGCTCCCACGCTTCGCCGTTCTCTTCAAAGAGACAGGTAGAAGGCGGCTTCTCGCCTGCGGAGTTGTCATTGTGGATAATCTGCTGTTCATTGAATTTTCGCTATTAGGTTGGAGGCCATCGCTATTAGGGTGGAGGCCATCGCTACTAAGTTAAGTCCACTGCTTGGGCCCCTGCAAATGAGAACCCGCTCATCCCCGGTGCTGAAGCACTCTACCACCTGAAGCGAGTTTGTTGAGCTGAAAATCAGTGTTCAGTCCCACCTCGCCTTGCATAGGTGCGGGTGTGAAATGCCACAAAGGACTTTGAGATGCTTCTCAAGCCCCTGCTCCTCTCAAACAATCAAGGCAGAGAGGATTTATTTTTAACCAATGATGAACCACGTAAAGCTGAATGGGTCAAATCTAGAAGAGCTGAACCATCATTGTGAATCAACCCTGCAATTTCACAGGTCTGTATATTCCAGTGCTCTAGTCCTGCAAGGGTGAAAAAGACTTTTGGATCCGGAGACAACTGTACAACCTGGGCGGCTCTTCACACTGCCGTTCATTCACGCAACCATTGACACCAAACGCCACCAGACAAGCCCCAGGTTCCTTGTGGGCTCTTCACCTTGGTTGGTCGTTCTGAGTGACCGGCAGCTCTGTCTGAACTCTCTTGACATCATGGGTACCTCAGCTTTCAGCTCAAAAACATGGGGAATTCATGTCTGGGTCCTGCTGATTGCTGCGAAGCCACGCACTCCTTTGGTATGCACCTCAGTCTTTGCCAGCAACGAAGCATTCAGGACAGCATCCTAGTGTTACTTGGGATATGTGCAAGGGCTTGAAAGGTGTGGGAATTTGACGGTTTGGTGAATCTGTCTAAATACGTTTTGCCCAAGAGAGGGGTGATTTTCCACCAAGCTGCCCATGTTCTTTGGTCAAGCTCACCCCCAGTCTCCAGCTCCAGGTAGAATTCTTCAAAGTTCTGGGCACAACAAATGAGGCCAAGCCTATGGTGGTTGCACCAATAACTCTTGTGACCGTCATGTTGATAGTACGAGTATTGAGTTACTCGGAGTTGGGGGTGTTTACAATCTGAACAGTACAAAAACTAGGCCGCCAAGCAGGCAAGTCAAAACATGTTGTTCAACCCTGTCCATGCATCATCTCTCCCAGGCCTCATCCAGCAATCCTGGCCTGGGGCCACTGGCAGGAGCTGCTGCTACCTAGAAACCAAAGGTGCTTGATTCTTTGATGTTTGGATGCTTCGTCTTGCTTCCAAGACACTTTCGTCTCTCGGTTGAAAGATTCACACGATATGTTATGCATATCATGCATGATATTTAATATCATGCAGAAAAAACTCACCCACGATTATCAGAACTTCACTGTACGTCTTCCCCAAGTCCCGGCATTCTTTGGGTCACCATCTTCGGCGGTTCTTTTTTGCCCAGGAACCCATCCAATCGCCACCCTCTCAATGCTCGTGGCTCACAAATCCAAAGGACTGGATTTGGCAAACCCTTCAGACTTGGGAAGAGCTGTGAGGGGTATACTTCTATGGCAACTGGCATGTTTTCGGACTGGCAGTTCTGCTTCTGGGTTCCCGGTCGCTTAACTGCTGCCGCGGCAAGCGCTCCACATGGCAGCAAATAGAGGCAGCCGACGCTGCCTGTCGGCCAATGCTGCAAGTATGCCTGGTACCCCCGCTGCACAAGCTCAGCGGAACAATCTTATGGGCAATTGTCCACCTTGGCTTGGCATTTCCAGGTTTGACTCACAACCATGTGGCAAACCCACTGCTCAGTGCCTGTGCGCCCATTAGCCATGGCCAACATATGCGCAGAGCATAAAGCTCAAACGCTGTGAGAACTAGATGTCACACATCCTGTGAGAATTCTAGGGTGTGATGGTTGCCCCACAATCAAAACTTGAGGAGTCATTCAGTCCCTTGCTGATGTCCATTGAAAGTACTGGGAGGCCTGCACATTCGAAAAGACTTTAGTGTACTTTAGTACATCCTTTGATTATTAGATGCTCCACGTCCTTGATGCTTGTTTCTCCGGCTAAATGTATTTTCCTTTTGATGCTTGCAGCTAATAGGCAGGTAACATTGCACAAGAAGAAATGTAATTTCCAACCTGCTTCACCTTGCGCATTGCAAATCGGAATCGCACGGCATGGCAAGCAAAACAATGGCCTGCGAAGTCCTGACGTTCATGCGCTTGGCATTCTGGTTAGATTTCACTCATCTGCAGACAGACTTCGCCTATTTCGTGTGTATGTATGTCAAATGTGTACATGTATGTACTGTATGGTGTGTCTGTGTACTGTATTGTGTGCTCATTCTCTTCTTTCATCTGATTCCGATTCCAATCTTAGCATGTCTCGGTCCTCTGTGATGGAGGCATCTTCCAAGGAGCGAAGAATGCCCTCGATCTTGGAGCATCGGTGGACAGTGCTGCGGACATCGGAGAAGGTGGAGAAAGTACGACTTGGGCACAGACTGCACGAGTGATAGCCTGTCTTCCGGATGTTTACACCAACTCTTCTGGAGAATAGGAATGCAAACAGCCATGCCAGCAGTATGGCACCATTGCAAGTGGCTGGGCTTACAAAGCTTAGCAGCTAGCGTCTTGAAGTCTTCCCACTTGAAAGGCCACAAAACATCATCTGGCCTGCTGCGTTTTCACCACCTGGACGAAAGCCGAAAGGTTGGGCCGAATCCCGTGTGGAACACCCAGGATGACGACGCCTGCCCTCGCAAGGGAGCGGGTCTTCGAACCGAAGCCTGGCGAAGAACAGGCGCGAATCATCTTCACAAATCTTCAGATGAAGCAAGAAGCCTATCTGCTTTAAGCTTTTCAAAACCATGAAATCTTGATCAACAGCTTACTCTCATGCATCTGCCTCTCTCCCTATCCACTCTTCGAAGTGTTGTCGCTGGCCGCACCTGACCCGGCGGCAAGGCATCCCAGGTCGACGCCTCGTCGGGAGGTCGACCGTCGCGCCTTTGACGGATTCATTCAGAATCTGATTTATGATCACAGGCATACCTTTCTAATAGCTTCTTGTTACTACTAGTAAGGCACCTGTTACTACTAGTAAGGCACTTGTTTCTACTAGCTTCGTGTTACTACTAGTAAGGCACCTGTTACTACTAGTAAGGCACCTGTTACTACTAGTAAGGCACTTGTTTCTAATAGCTTCTTGTTACTACTAGTAAGGCACCTGTTACTACTAGTATGGCACTTGTTACTACTAGTAAGGCACTTGTTTCTACTAGCTTCGTGTTACTACTAGTAAGGCACCTGTTACTGCTAGTAAGGCACTTGTTTCTACTAGCTTCTTGTTACTACTAGTAAGGCACCTGTTACTACTAGTAAGGCACCTGTTACTACTAGTAAGGAACTTGTTTCTACTAGCTTCGTGTTACTACTAGTAAGGCACCTGTTACTACTAGTAAGGCACTTGCTTCTACTAGCTTTGTGTTACTACTAGTAAGGCACCTGTTTCTACTAGCAAGGCACTTGTTTCTACTAGCTTCGTGTTACTACTAGTAAGGCACCTGTTACTACTAGTAAGGCACTTGTTTCTACTAGCTTCGTGTTACTACTAGTAAGGCACCTGTTACTACTAATAAGGCACCTGTTACTTCTAGTATGGCACTTGTTTCTACTAGCTTCGTGTTACTACTAGTAAGGCACCTGTTACTACTAGTAAGGCACTTGTTTCTACTAGCTTCGTGTTACTACTAGTAAGGCACTTGTTACTAGTAGCGATGCACTTGTTCCTAGTAGCTTATTGTTGGATGCTGTTGGATTCATTCCATCTTAAATCCATGTGCAGTGAGAACGAGGTTCTCCAAAGAACCACCGGTCCCTGGCCCGGGCAGTGGCCCTCGTGGAGTCACTCAGGTCAACACCACAGGAGAGCGCCGGGCAGAGGTCCTGGGCTGAAGAGACGAAGATGGAAAAAGCTCTGCGCAGGACTCCCAGAGCGATTTCAGGTCATGATACACCTATACATTGCACTACATTGAAGCATCTAATCGAAGGTTTGCGCGAATCGTCCATGGATTTCGGAGCACTCGTTGCACTCCCCGTCCTCACGTCCAGATCTCCAGCTTCCTCACAGCGTTGGGTTGTTGGCAAAGAGCTGGGCCACTCCGCAGCCCTCCACAGCTGGGCCGCTGACCGTGTTGGGCGCTTCGTTCAACAGCACCTTTGCGAAAACGCGCATGAATCTTTGGAAACGTTCGATACAAAACCACGAGACTTCAACCAAACACCAATCCTCTGCCAGCAGTGTGTTCTTTTCTGTGGATCCTTGGATCATTTAGGAACATAGCTCTCAAGGGGGGGGCTCGTTCCGTGGTGGGTCTCCAATGTAGCTCATGCAAGGTCCATGCCTATCGAAACCGCTGTCGGCGCCAAACGAACGAAGCGCCTGTAGAGCAATGATCGCACCATTCAGGGCCGTTGCTGGCCCTCAAGGGCACAAATGTGTTGAACGACTTCCACTGAACAATGCTGAAAGGTAGGTGGTGCTATGGTACTGTATAGGAGATGTCTTTGAAAGGAGAAGCACCTGTAGGTGATATTCCTCAGCTTCTGTGGAGTTCAGTTCTAAGATGTTCTAAGGTCCACATGACCCACATGCCAGTCCTGAGGCCTAGGCCTGGCTGGGGCAGGTCCATGTCCTGAGACACGATGTTGCAAAAAATGCGGCCAGGCACTGCCGGGGGATCTGTGTTTCCGCTCTTCTTTTTGTAAGGCGTTTGGGGTTCGCTTTTTGGAGCAACAGCTCCAAACGGAACGAATCGTCGCTTTCGGGTGGTCTCCTCTGGAGGAATGGAGACTTCGGAACCGTTTCAGAACGACCAGGATTCCGGACGGATGGTGCTGTGGTGAAACTGTCGAAGCTGGGCCTGGCACCCGAGAAGTCCCTCACCCCATCCCGAAGAATCTGGAAGTGAATGGCGTTGCCGTAGCCGTAGGCAGAACCACCCTGCCTTCCTTGCAAAACATATTGAAATAACGGAAAAAGTGATAAGGGTGTAGAGTATCGATGCAGGTTGGCCAGGCATCAAGTATTCGTGGTTGACGGATGTTCGTCTCAGGCCGCCATAGGCCCTCCGCATCTCAGGTGCCTCAAAACAGGATATCCTTCCTCATCCGCATGAGCACCTTAGGCTATGACCATCTATGAACCGTGGCTTCGACAATGTTCCAGCACGAGTCCCAGGCGTGCAAGCATGCTTTCCAGCACGAGTCCATCGGCCATGGCTGCTACATGTTGATTATGCAAAGATGTCTCAAATACTCTTGAAACAACCGGCTTAACGGTGTTGCAGGTTGTGAGGTTCGCTTGGTTGCTGGTGACTATATAGATTGAATTTATTATGTGTGTGTGTGTGATGTGCGGGTCTCAGTACGACAAAGAACTTTCAGCAGCGACAATCTTTGGTCGCCACTGCTGAGAGTGCATGGCGGGGGCCAGGCAACTCACAGGAATTGTGTCCGAGGCCTAGGGCCTAGTCCTTTCAAACCTAGGGGCTCCTGGCCTTACTACTAGGAGCACGGACGCTACTAGGGGCTCCTGGCATCGCTAGTAGGAGCATTCTTACTACTAGGAACAAGAAGCTACTAGTAACAAAGGGCATCACTTGGAGTCCCAGGCCTAGGGCCTAGTTACTAGTAGCGAACATTGCTCCTAGTAGTAAGGCCAGGAGCCCCTAGTAGCGTCCTTGCTCCTAGTAGTCCTTTCAAACGACTTCTTCAAAAAAGGTTGTCACTTCAATGCAGTCCGTGCATTCCAATAGCGGAGGGGTTCATTCTTGGGTGAAAACGCTAAAAGTGGCATGCAGCAAAGAGCCTCAAACTTGATGAGCCAAACGAATGCTACCTGAACCACGTCAAGAATCTGAGCTATTCCAGTGTCCTCGAGGCTCAAGACTGGCTCTTGATCCACCTAGGAGGCCGATGATAACACTCGTGTCTGTCATATTCACAGGAGTGGGCTCTAGCTTTCATATTAGTGCATGTGCATGTGCATGTGCTATTCTTTCACACATGTGCTCCACGACTGAGATGATTTCGGAGTCACCGAGAGCTCTGCCCAGGAAGGCAAGTCTGCCGGCAGGGTGCTCAGGATCGGTGCGGTGCGGAACTCCATCAGCAAACCTTGAGGAAACGCCGCTGTTGAGCTGCAAAACGCCGACGGAAAGCTACGATGCATCCGTTGTCCGAGAAGAACCAAACCAAGCAAGAGATGCATCCGTCCACTTCATTCAAGGACCACCAACTTCTGGTGGAGTCCACCAACTTCACCACGGTGTTCCACCATCGGGCGGCGCACGGTTTCCGCGGTTTCCGCGCCTTGCATCTTGAAGTAGTTCACCAGAATCTCCAAGGTGATCTTGTTGCACTTTTGATGAAGCACGGCAACAGCCTACGAGAATCTGCACAAATGGGACTCAGTTGCCACCAGGGAAAGAAGAGAAAGGGAAAAAAATAGAACTCCAAGTCAACCAGATCCCTTGCGTGCCCGGAGCGGGCTTTTCTTTTTAGATGTCCCGAGCGTGTCCTTTTTCATGTCCCTTGGCGCCTGCGGAGCTCGAAGGAGTGCTGTTTGCTTGCAGGCTTCGTCCAAAAACTCCAGGCTCTTTCGGATAATCAAACTCTTCCTGCAGAAGTTGTGTGGTTGCTTGATTTTTTGGGGGACATGTGCTTTTTGTTGGCAGGAAGGGGGAAATTGCTCAGAGAATATGTAGAAGCTCTTGCAAATGGATTTGAATGGAGCTGCCCAAATGCCGTTTGA